GAGAGAGAGAGAGAGAGAGAGTGTTTCCCTTCCAAGTCCTGGCCAAGGTTCACAGAGCCTGCAAAGCAAACTTGCAACACATATTCAGTGGGGTGTGTGTTCTCCTCCTGGGGGTGGCCATCACTGGCACACACACACACACACACTCCCTGCCAAAGGGAGGGGGAGACTTCAGGCCCCCTCTTCCTCCTCCAGGCGATACAGGCAGGTGCTGGGCCAAGGGACCTCCCCCTTCCTGGGGATCCCTGCCCGGGGCTGGGGCTGACGTCTTCTCTTCTCTCTCCCTGGCAGGAGATCCAGGCCGGCAGCAAGATGACCACCGAGGGGTTTGACTGCTCCAGCTGCAAGGAGTCCCTTTACGGCCGCAAATACATCCAGGCTGGCGAGGGGCCCTTCTGTATCCCTTGCTATGACGCCCACTTTGCCAACACCTGCGACGAGTGCAAGGAACTCATCGGGCATGATTGCCGGGTAAGGCCCTGGCTGGGGCTGGGGCTGGGGCTGGGGCTGGGGCCGGGGGGGCACTCCGTTTGGGTGACGGCTGCCTCTCAGACTAACGCTGAATACTCTCTCACCCCCCCACCACCCCATCCCCAGGAGCTTTACTACGAGGACCGGCACTACCACGAGGGCTGTTTCCGCTGCTTCCGGTGCGACTGCTCCCTGGCCGACGAGCCCTTCACCTGCCAGGGGGAGGAGCTGCTCTGCAACGGGTGCTACTGCCGGGAGTTCTCCTCCCAGTGCATCGCCTGCCAGCAGGTGGTCATGCCAGGTGCGCCGCCGCCGCCTCCTCCCCTTCGAAGCCTGTGTGGTGGAAGAGAGACACTGAGAGACACTGGGATGTGACGAAGCATCTTGTCCCCCCCACCCCCCCCACCCCTGGCCCCTGCAGGCTCCCGGAAGTTGGAGTACAATGGGCAGACCTGGCATGAGCACTGCTTCCTCTGCAGCAGCTGCCAGGAGCCCATCGGCTCCCGCTCCTTCATCCCCGACCAGAAGGACTATTACTGCGTCCCTTGCTATGAGAGCAAGTTTGCCCCCCGCTGCACCCACTGCAAGAAGGTGAGCCCCCCCCCTGAATGGAGATGGAGGGAGGGGAGCTGGGCAGGGCAGGGGGGCTAGCCTTGCAGACGATACAGCGGGGCAGGAGGGGTGGTCAGTGGAAGGCTTTGCGCAACCCCCCCGCCACTCTTGTGCCTACAGTCGCTGACCAAGGGGGGTGTGACGTACCGGGACGAGCCCTGGCACCGGGAGTGCTTCGTTTGCACCGGCTGCCGGACGCCCCTGGCGGGGCAGCAGTTCACCTCTCAGGAGGAGCAGCCCTTCTGCCTCCAGTGCTTCGGGAACCTCTACGCCAAGAAGTGCCAAGCCTGTGCCAAGCCCATCACAGGTGAGGGAGGGGCAGGGCACCCCCGTGGGGCACACCCCCACCAAACCCCACCTCCGCCGACTCTCACACCCGCCCCTGCCCCCCCATCCGGCTTTCTCTTCCAGGCTTCGGCGGGGGCAAATACGTCTCCTTCGAGGATCGCCACTGGCACCACCACTGCTTCAGCTGCTCCCGCTGTGCTGCCTCGCTGGTGGGCAAGGGCTTCATCCCTGAGAAGGATGAGATCCTGTGTCGTGACTGCGCTGGCAGCAGTCTCTGAGAGGGGACGCCCCCCCCTCGTGCCTCTTTTTGCCCTGTGCGCCCAGGTGACCCTCCTNTGCTCACCTTTTCCAGCCCACCCAAGTGAGTGGGGTCAGCCCAGGCTCCCTGTACCCTACATGGCCAGGAGGATCTCCCCCTTCATAAGGCTCCCTCTCCCCTGGAGCCCTGAGGTCCAGTGTAGTGCGTGGGGAGGAGGGACAGAGCCCTGTCCACTGGGGGGGAGGGGTGCCCTTTATAGCAGTGACAAGGCTTGGACTCCCCCCCCTTTCCAGCCCACCCAAGTGAGTGGGGTCAGCCCAGGCTCCCTGTACCCTACATGGCCAGGAGGATCTCCCCCTTCATAAGGCTCCCTCTCCCCTGGAGCCCTGAGGTCCAGTGTAGTGCGTGGGGAGGAGGGACAGAGCCCTGTCCACTGGGGGGGAGGGGTGCCCTTTATAGCAGTGACAAGGCTTGGACTCCCCCCCCCGAACTCATCCCACTCCTAGGCCTTGGGAAGAGGGGAGGGTCCCTTTAAGTCAGGCCACCTCTCTTGCCCTTAGCAAGTTGCCCCCTGGCACCCCTTCCCCCCAATCCTGCAGGGCAGGAGGGCAGACTCTGCCCACTGCCTTTGCTGCCCTGGCACCGGAAGAGACAGGCTGGCTCCTCCTTTCTGCCCCTTCTCCATCCTCTCCTGGAAAGGATCTAGAGGGGGAGGGTCTTTGGTGTGGGGCAGGGGCTCCCCTCCTGCAGTCCCAGGGCTCCACCAGGTGCTCAGCGGGCTTGCCAGGTGCTTTTTCTCTGACTGGGCTCCTCCAGGCGGGCAGGCGGATGCTGCCCCTCTCTCCTGAACCTGCAGTCCCTCCTCTCCCTTTGGCAGATTGTGTTATGCATGCAGCTTTTGACAAACCCTGTAGCCAGTTCTTCCGATGCTTTCCGGGGTTGAGGTGGGGTGGGGAACAGGGGGAGTTGAGTGCCAAGCTCTCTGCTGGAGTGGAGAGTCCTGCTGCCCCCTTTGTATAGGTCTGGGCAGTGTGTCCCACCCACCTCTTCTAGCCTTGTATAATAAATCATATTAATTGGCTGTGGTTGTTCATCACTCACAAGTGGGAGGAAGGGTCTGTTCCTTCTCTGGAATGCGCAGGCTTCCTTCTGGCTGAGCTGGGCCCCCTTTGAAAAATGGCCTTCCTCCTGAGGCCAACCGTTTGCTTTGCCCTGAATTTTGCAGCCCAGTTCTTCCTCCCCCCCCCTTCTGTGCTGTTGGAGCTCTCTGGGTTGAATGGAAGGACTCATCCCAAACGCAGGGAGGGTGTCCCAAATGGGTGGGGGTCTGTTGTAGGGCCCAAGAAGGGTTTTGGGGGAAGCGGTGGGGCAGGGCTCCTGGGGCTGCCTTCCCAGATGTGAAATGGATCCAGACTGGCCCAGCAGCTGATGATGGATGGGACCAATGCCCCCCCCCTCGCTGCGCACACACCTTTCCTGCTCACTTGGGCAATTATTTTCCCTGTAGCTGTAGTGGGTGGGTATTTTCTGCCTTTCTCACAGATCTTTTCTGTCTGTCCCTGAGTGTTTCATCAGCCCTGTCTGGGAAACGTTGGTGCCTGCCAAGGGAGGAGGGGAAGCTCCCTTCATAGTTCTGAGCATAATGTGTGTGTGTTTGTGTGTAAGTGCGTGTGTGTTCGTGCGTGCTGAGACTCTGCCCCCCCCTTTCCTGCCCCCATAAACTCCAGTGAGCAGCTACCCAGCGTGGGCTGCCTCTGGGCCCCCGGGAGTGGCGTTCTTCTCCAAAAAAGGAAATGGCCCAGCTGCCTGTGGCCAGCAACATCTGGATCCCATCCCGAAATGAGTGGGTCACGACTTGAGCTGCCTGCCTGATTTATATGTGGGGAGGGAGTGAGGTAATGCGGCAAGGCTGGAAGGCGGTGTGTGTGTGTGGGGGGGAGGGGAACCGAAAGGGAAGGTGGGCTGAGATGGCCCAACGGCCAAAGACTGAGGGGGGCCTGCAAAACAACCTTGCCCCAGGGAGAGCCCCCCCTCCCAGACAGCATGGGCAAACAGTTTTGGCAATGCTGCTTCCCCCCCCCCCCACTCCATGCAGAGCCACTGCCTGCAGAAGGCCGCCTCAGCCCTTCTTTTGGAAAGAAAAGAAAAATCCCAACCGCCAGGCAGGCTCCAGTTTCCTTGGGGGCACCCGGGGGGCCTCCTGCCGCAGCCAGCTGCATTGGGTGGGGGTGGGGGCTGCCCTTTCGGTGTGGGGTGGTCTGGATTTATTTTGCTGGAAGCAGAAAATGAATAGAAGTGTCCGCCCCCCCCCCGCCCCCTTGGCGTGGTTTATTTCAAGTCCCCAAAGAGACCTCCGACCTGAGGCAGCTTAAAGCATTTTGAGAAAGTAGCACAGAATTCAAGTCCGGTTAACCGGGTCCAATATTTAATAAAGACGACGTCGCTGAAGCTGAAGTTAAAACCGATCATTACCATGAAAGCAAATCACCCGGTGAGGCAACTTTTGCCAGGCCACCGACCTTTGGGCGAACTCTTGAGTCCCCTTCAGGGCAGAAAGGCCGCTTCTTAAAAAAAAACAGGAGGACATAATGCAGCAGTATATGGAAGGAAGGAGTGGGTCTCCCACCCTCTGAAAGGCAGCGCGGTGTGGTGGGTAGCGCGTCGTCAGGCCAGGACTGAGGAGCCCTGGGTTCAAATCCCCGTTGATCCCAGTGAGCCTCTGGCAGGGCCTCAGAAGCAGCCTGGGGGCGCACAAGGAGGAGAA